GTCTCTTTTTTGCTCGACCAAGTTTACGTATAAATACGGATTGGAGGACAATGGGTTGAAAGTGCACACATACCCAAAACTAACGTGCACAGCAGGGTAATGAAAATAAGAGACCGGCTGAATCCCAATGAACAATCTGGTATAGTGAATTAAATTGACGTTGTAACTGACCATACAAACAGCCTAGGTACTTGCTTAAAGGCCCAGACACGTGTTTAGCCGGTATTTTGCCGCTGGTTGACACAGCTGCGAGGGGTCCGGCTAATCAGTGGGTCCCTCCCTATCTGCTTTCTGGTTGGTATACCGGTTTTGAAAGTTCAGCTTTTTAATTTCCTGAGAAATTAATTTCTGTTTGCGTTATATATCTGTATATGTAAGGTCTATAGGCGTAGACCGAAATTTTAAGTGTATATTTGTATTGAAACCCGTCAACCCCTGTGAAATATACACCTGCTGTCATCAAACAGTCTTAAGTAGTATAAATTGACGTTGTCATTTATTGAATCTCATGCCAAAGTTGGCCTTTTAACTACACTGGCCAAACTGAACACATGCTCAGATCGAGCATACATGAACATAAACTGGTTGTACGACGACGGGATTGAATACCATAAGTTTTAGCGCATAGGTATGAAACAAGCCCTGAGTTCAACTTCGCGGCCGTCAAGGTACTCGCCAACGCCGGAAACAAGACAAGCCAAAAATTTATCGAAGCCGGTCCGTAGACGGAAATCTAGAGCTAGCGTACAGCACCTTGCGCTGTCACATGCTATCATGCCCGGACGTCCATCACAGTTAATTTACGCAAGTCCTCTATAATTACCCCCTATATTCGCTTCTGACGCGCTGATGGACCTTGACGTCACTGACAGTTAATTAACGTATACCATATATGTACTCTACCCATCCCCCTCCTTTTCTCATCGCTGTTTCTTACCCCCTTACCACCTGACGCACCCTGTCAGTCGTTTGTTGTATTCCCACTATAATTTTTTATTGCTGTTCCTTATCTCTGACGATGGACTCCTGTAAGCGTTCGAAAGCTCAGGATAATAAACAAAATGATCCGGTGCTCAAAAAAACACATTTTTTACCCACAAATATGGAGTGTCAGAAAAATAAACTTAAACTTCCAACTGTAGGACATCCTTCTTAACCACGAGACTTGTTGATGGATATTACACTGATTTACATGGAAGAAGCGCACTAAGCTACTGCGATTTTCATTTTTTATTTGGTTATTATCTTGAACAAAAGCGTCAAACAACGGAGTATTTAGACTTAAAACAAATCACCTGCACGAACTCAGATGTTTAATTTCAGAAAATTATCATTTTCAAATAATTAGAATGGTTAAAACGACGGGTAATTCAATTTAAAGAGAAAACCTTATTTTTCTCAAGGGAATTCCCTTGAAAACTACGCAACCATGCAATTACATCAGTGAGTGTTCCCTTGTTAAAAATTACAAATAACGACGTTAGGCCCCTTCTGAGGAAAAACCCAAATCGAAGGTTTTATATCCACTACATCGTAAGGCACACTTTAGAATACCCTTTTAATATATGCTTGCCACCACAAAAAGTCATAACCTGCAAAGCATTTAGGGGAAGGGCCTCCACCGATCGTGTTTGGGGAGCAACATAGAGCCCATGCAGATCAGGAATATATGCAGAAGCGAGAACTGGCAAAAAGCAGGTGCTGAAATAAGCATTTCTGGTCTTCAGGACATCATCGGTTGGACTTGCTTAACTCCAAGTCTGGGACATATGGGGATTTAGCCATGATATGATTTATGGTTGAATCAAGCTACCTACTGTTGAGCCACCGTCCAGATGACCTGTCGATTACTATGTAATGTATTAATCATAGTAAATACATAGGTATGTATATATACCATAGGGTTATATTAATTATAGTAGCTAATTCGATTATTCATTGTGTAACAGTAGGTACTTGTCTTGTGAATTTCTTGAAAACCGTCGCATATTGACCGAGAGTCTGTCTGAATGCGAGTTTTGGACACTGAAATAGCCCCTTCTGATTTATTAGCCCTCCCCTATACGCTTTGATTTGCTACGGACTGAAAATGCAAAGGAATGGTCTTTCTCGGACCATCAATCCTCGCCAGTAGTTTTAAACGGATCTAACGAGTGAGGCATTTGATGCACTGGTACCTTATGATGCAGTTAACTCCGACATCTGTTGGATAAAGGGTTCAGCTCAAACGCGGCCTACTTCGCCATAAAAAGCTTTATCCGTCAATCCTTTTGCGTTAAGGTCCTCTGAGTGTATTTGCTGTTTTTATCGCGAAATTCAGTGGATAAGTTCTGCGCGCAAAGAGGTTTGTAAAAGGGATAAGCGCTTCCAAACAATTGAGTTGTTCTCATAAATTTCCAATTTGGTGACATCAAGTCAGCTTTATTATTTACTCACGAAGTAGAGAGAGGAGATATACTACCATTCCTAGATGTGGATTTACAGACACGCCTCGCGTCCAGGGAAAGGACACCACTGTGGAACTCATTCCTATCTCGAGAAGTAACTAATTTGTGGCCCACAACAGTGGTTGCGTTCGTATTCTTTTCCAGCGGACCTGCCAACAGTACAGCAATGACTACTTACTTAAAATGGAAGTATCCTTATTATTGCAGTTCTTTTGGTCTAAGTCATACAAACTATGTTTGTAAACCAAATGGCTTTGATATCGAGGCAAAGCACAAAACCTGCTTTCTAAGGAAGGCATAATACCACGGAATTTAGATGTCCTACCTTGCATGCAACGGAGTTACGAAACGATCTCCCGATACGGCATCTTGATTATCCACGATGCTGCATCCTCTTTACCCGATACTCTATGCCACGTAAAGGAATCCCTATCTGGAGAGCAATTAAACTTTATGTACCATGCACCAACTACCATTGTGCATACGCTGGGCCTACATGCCGACTTCTTGGGACTGGCATCAATGGACATAAGTAAGTTTTTTTGCGGAAGTGACACCTTATCAATCGTATTTTTTGCATCGCCTTGATTGTGACTACCGTCTTAATTGGGACGGTACTGAAGTGCTTGTCATGGCCAAAAACAAAAAGAAGTGAATATTTCCCGAGGCCAGACACTCCAACAAGACCAAGGTTAACCGTCGTGTCCATTTGGGCGCTCATAAAGAAGGGTTACTACCTGCTACTACCTGTTCCTGGCCATCAAAATAACTCAGTCTCGCCTGCTACTGCCTAAGACAAAGCGAACCGCAGGTAAGCCTTCTAACACCGCACTGACGTCTGCCCCCGGCCTGCATCGGCCGCCTAACCAGCTGTCAGTACTTCTAATGAATTGCCTTCAACCCCCCGTTTCAACACCGGAAGCCGTAACTGTTCCCTCCCTCATTCCAAGACGTTTCCCATTTTGTGTCATCCCCTCCATCACACCAATTGTTCGTCCATCGCGCTCAGCCCTCTCAAGCTTCAACTCTCTCCCTTTCGATCACTGGAATCATAATTTTATTTGTCGTAGCTTTCGAACTCTTGCGGGACTCCATCGTCGGGGGTAAACGTGTCAGCGAAAAACACGCAACAATAATAGGGGGCAGGGGCCAATCAACCGTTATAGAGCGCGGGGGGAGCCA